ACTTTGCAAAATTGCCCAGATCCGACTCCAAGTCTGACATTCCTCGGCGGAAGCATCGTTTCTCCTACGCTCAGCAACGGTTGCAACTGGTTGGGCCTTTTGCACCATGAGCTGGCAGTGATTTGTGACTTTCTCACGGTGGCGTGATCTCCACGGTGGCCCAACATCAAGCCTGGTGCGACGACGCTTTTCTGACGAGTCCAGAAGTGTCATTAGAGGTTGTTTTGCTATTTCAGCCCCTACAGCAGCATTCACCAGCAGCCTGAGTATTGATCCAAAATTTTGGTGACGTTTTCCAGCTTAGACGACCCCGAACAACCCTAATCAGATAAGCCCAACAAGTTTTGTGGTGTTATTCTTCATTCCGGCAATTGCGACGCTTACCCGGAGACTATATTTGGATTACCCATTCCTTTTCAGTGTAGGACCAGTAAGCCAGGACCCTTTTGACGTCGTTTCTATAGGGTCAAACGCATTTAACATTGTTCCAACAAAGACCGAATCATTTCAGTAAAGTTCATTGGGAAAAATTAGAACCGACACAAGATTTAGGAGCTCAAAAGCATGTTTGTAAGTAGCACTAAGGGGCGGTGCGTGCGTTATTAAGTGTTATTGGAACGGTTCTGTGTTGAATTTTATTTTGTTAATGTCGCTCATGTATTTAGAAATCGTTAAGCGTGGTTTGTGAACTACTAGTGGATATTGTTGGGTTGCATGTTTGCTGTTCTTTTTTATATACATTATGAAAATGTATTGCTTTTTATTGTTGGATATGGCCGAAAAGTTTTTGATTAGTATGGTTGGAAGTGATTAATGTTTGATGTTTGAAAGCATGTTTGAGATGAAATGCATGTGTTAGTTTTATATTATTTAGTTTTATATCACTTAGTTGGAAGCTGTTGGGTTATTGCTTTTCCTCTGTACAATGAAAAGCATGTTGGAAAATTTTGTTGTGATTAGAAGTGTCAATGACCTGTAGATGCCTTTGAGGGATTAGTTAGAGGTGTATGAAGTGGTGGAACGGACTAGTTGATTGTTATCCTGTGATTTGTCTAAAGTGAAAATGCATACTAGTCGTTCGGTTATTTAGAGGCCTTATCGTTGGTGACTTGGGAATTATGTGATAGAATCCTAGCAAAGTACTATGATTCGAATGTGTGGTCTATCGTGTAATGAAAAGTCGATACACGAGTTTCATGGCCTCGTGGGCAATGGTCGAGGTGGTTACGTCACTGCTGGGTGTCGAGGCTCCAGGTGCAAAAGGTCGAGCACGATAAGCCAGTCTTGGTAGAGATGAGGGTTGAGGCACTGGGTACAAAAGGTCGGGGGTCGGCACGATGAGTCTATTTGATGATAATATTGGGTCTTGATGTGGTGGCAGTCAAGGACCAATATGCCTAATAGACGTCGAGGAGTTGGGTACATAAGGTCCAAGGTCGATGCACTACGCCAAGCCCCACGGCTCTACCTTGCCTTTACTCTAGGCCAAGGTCTTCTAAACGCAGTGTCGCGACACATTTCCAACCATTTTGGTTATCGGCCACTCGACCGTCCCGCTCCTAAGATGAGCTAGGACCTTACCGGGATGAGTTCCGACCTACAACGAGGTCAGAATGAGCTTAAAATGCCAACCGGGTACAACCGGGAGATTCATATCGCTTAACTATGTCAAGACCAGCTTATCGAGCCTATCGGACGCCTCTAACACCATTCATGCTGAGAAACTAGTCAATAATGGGCTAAACGGTCTTACCGGATACTGTCGGGATGTTCCTGCCGAGATCCGGACAAGGAATGACTAAACTTGGCAATTGGGATGAGTCTTGCCGCTTACCAGGCCAAGACTAGCTTTTTCTCACTTACTGGTACCCACCGGTACTGTAGGATGCCACCCCGAGCATCGGGATGTCATCGGACTTCGCTGCTTGCTTGGGCACGCATACCGAGAACCAACCCATGAGTTCGTATTTATGATTGGGGCCTTCCGAACATCCTGTCATCTGGACACTATCGAGGCACGACGACTCTTTCGCCCATGCCATGTCGTTCGAGTATACCGTCCATCATAAGGGTCCTGTGGTACAACCTCCGACACATGGATCAAGGCGCAATGTTGGCAAACCCGTGCCGCCCGACACTGTCCTCGAGTTTTCTATCCTCAAAGAAAGTCGCCCAAGACACTCGTCTTGCAGATGCTCGCCCTCACCATGACACACGCATGTGCCATGAGGCAGCTCACTTAGGTCCTGACATGTCTCAGGGGTGGTGGAGAGCCAACACCATGCCTCCCCCTAAAGTGCATTCTAAGACATTTTTGGTCTGGTAGGCGTGTATGTGCAAAGTGGCGAGGAGTCACTCATCAACGTAGAGTGCACGTCTGAACTCCTATTGACATGAAACTTGGCATGCTTATCTCACTTATATGCATCTATCTCTAAAGCCGCTTGTCCAAACTCTCGACGGAACCCAGACTTCTAGGGTCATGTCTCGAGGCCTCAATTAGCCCCCTGTTGAGCTTGTCGCCGACACCACTGACATTGCCTTCGCCGTGCATTCTGCATACGCCTTCTCTAGGTATTCTTGA